ACGAGGTCCCGTCTGGGTCCGCGTACTCCCCGGCTCCGGGTTGCATCCCAGGAGCCCACGAAAGTGGCGCCAATTGCGCAGATCGCCGTCCCCCAGGAAGCTGCGTGGTCCTGCTGGATCCTCGTGCTCCCCGACTCCGGGTTGCATCCCAGGAGACTACGAAAATGGCGCCAATTGAGCAAATTGCAATCCACCAAGGAGCTGCGAGGTCCCGTCTGGATCCGCGTAATCCTCCTCGTCCTCGTCCTCGTCCTCGTCCTCGTCCTCGTCGTCCTCGTCATGTCCTCCTCCTTCTCCTGCTCCTCCTCCTGCTCTCCTCTGCCTCCTCCTCCTCCTGCTTGGCTCCTCCTCCTCCTCCTCCTCCTCCTCGTCCTCCTCCTCCTCCTCCATAGCTCCTCCTTTTCCTCCTCCTCCTCCTCCTCCTCCTCCTCCTCCTCCTCCTCCTCCTCCCGGGAGCGCTGCTCCTTCACAGCCCAGGGGGGGCCCTCGCGGCGGCAGGGGTGGCTGCAGCGCAGAGAGGCGGCCTCGCCCGAGCCGCCCGTGCGCACCGAGAAGCGGTACGCGCAGCCCGCGTCGAGGGCCCACAGGCGGCTCACCACCTCCACCGGCGGGCGGCGGGCCCCCGGGGGGGCGGCCTCACTCCAGGGACGCACAAGTTCACAGACGCACAGGGGCACACAAACTAGCAGGCACAAGGACACACCGGAGGGGGCCCAAGGGCACACGAGGACACAAAAGGGCTCACTGCATGGGGTACACAAGCTGATAGGCACAAGCCCCAGGATTCCCCATATGTGGCTCTGGACTCTCGTCGCCCCCTCCACTCACCATATGTTCCATTTGATCATTGGAATCGACGATTATTCCCCGGCCGACAGGTTGGGATCGTTAGGTTCAAAGGAAAGACCTCCCGACCCGTCCACCCTGCGTACCGCGGCCGCCTGATCCCCTGGTCCCCCCGGGTATCCCCGAGAGTGCCGCCTCGCGCCGCTCTGCATACCGCGGCCGCCAGATCCCCAGTTCCCCCGAGTGTCCCCGAGAGTGTTGCCTCGCGCCGCTCTGCAGACCGTGGCCGCGAGATCCCCAGGTCCCCCGAGTGTCCCCGAGTGTCCCGCCTCCCGCTGACAAATCATATGACAGAGCGGCATGATGAAATAGCATAACATTGTACAGCACAGTGCAGAGACGCCATGACAGAACTGAGTATCTTCCACACTTCCTAACACAACATACCCGATCATAACCTACCAGATCATGACAACACGTATTGTAAATAAACACCATGACAAAGCAATGCATACCACAGCACGGCATCACGGCACATAACATTCCAGAACGCGTCGCGGAACTAAAAAAACATGCCACCGCCTCACATAGCATGGCATAGCATATCATACCACAACAAAACAAAACAACGCAGTAGATGACAAACCACATCGTACGCAATATCATACATTTGATTGCCACATAGCATGACATAGCAGAACATGAGAGAACAGAGCATCACATAGCATACCATGACCACACCACAACATTACACAGCACCATCGCACACATAGCATGATGTAGAACATCGCAGCACAGATGACAACTCATAACATGACAGAGCGCGGCAGAATGTGTTACACCCTAGAAGAGCATCGCATAACACAACACCGTAAACTATGATAGTATGGGTCATACATAAAAGAGAAAACCATCACACCTCATACCACAACATAATCAAGCGTACCATAACATGCCATGACAGAGTCCATCTTCACATAAAACACCGTGGCAGAACATACCACGCCGTAGCACCGCATCAAACCACATAGCATTCAATGAAATGACACATCATACCATGAACGAGTGCGGCATAACACCCTCTAGCATAGCATACCAACATATATCACAGCACCATGACATAACAACGCATAACATGTCATGACATGTCAGAACAGGACATACAAGGACAAAGCAAAGCAACACTGGTGATGGCATCATGCAGCATAGGGAGCGAAACATACCACCACACAACATGCCAAAACAGAAAAGAGCAAATTAGAAGATAGAGCATAGCGTAAGATAACACATAATAACATGTCACACCATGGCATTATCTAGCTTAATCTAACACAGGCTCACAGCATTCCTTAACATGACAAAATATACCATGAGGGATCTCGGCGTAACAGGTAGTAACAGCAGGGTATAAGAGACATGTCAATATCGTGTCCTGACAGAACAGAGCATGACAGAACGCAACATCGAGCACAATATCAAATAACAACGCATACCATGACAGAGCGGAACATAGTGGAGTAGATCATGACAGGTCATTGCAGAACGCACCGGAAGTTCCCACGACGGCAACGAATGTGCTCAAGCGTCGCAGATCCTACCGTGTTGCAAAGGGTGCCAGAACAGAACACAATGACATGAACAGAGAACATAGCACAACGTAACCAGTATACCATAGAATAACCCTCTCACCACTGATACCCCTACGACAAAGAGCTTTACATAACACGATATGCTATACCTTTATCTCATAACAGAGCAAGGCATCATATACTGGAATGAACGCAGCATGGCGTAAAAAGACATGATTGAACAAATCATGGTATAAAGTAAACTAGCAGAACCTATCATGTCGTAAGACGGTGCCGCAGAGCAGAAGAGCAAGAGCATCCTTTAGAACAACAAAAACCAGAATTGAAGAGGAACGTCATGAAATAATGCACTGTGCTGTAATATTGTCAGACGCGACGTGCGCGCCGAGGTCAGGCTGGCCAATGGACCAAACATGAAGAGCAACGACCAATTGGACGACGTATCACACGTGACAGGCGTCACGACGTCACGCCAGACTGTCCCTATCCTACGATTACTTAAACTACCGCTTCTTCTACTGCTACTGCTCCTCTTCTTCCTACTGGCTATTTCAGAACATGTTTTGGAATCTCGCACCACGCTTATTGGAGGGTGCAGTCTTTGTTTCGCCCCAGTGCTTGTTTCGGTTTCTCTCGTCAGGGTCTCTGGGGCCGTTCGATTTCAGGAGAACGGCAACTTGCGACCTGGTCAGACCGCAGCACTGGCCGACACTACTGGGCCACGCGCACATCGTTCCACCTTTCCAATGGGCGCGAGCACCGTCGGGATCAGACGCCGAAGGTTTCGGTGGGGATCGCTCGAAGCAAAAACATTTGCGTCAGTTTTTTCCCTCCTGAGAGGAGACGGGCCGAGGTGGGTTTTTGCTTACCTCGCCGGCGGCTCCACATAACTCAAGCAAGCGGCGCCTATGGGAAATGCGACCTGCAGAGCGGCACGAAGAGGGGCTCCCGGAGGAGGAGCCGCGCTGCCGTGACCGAGACTCCGACCCCGGGGCAGCGCAGGGAACCAGGGCGCAGCAGCTCGGCATCACAGGACACGAGCCGAGGTGGGCCCCCTCCTTTCCCCGAGGGTGGGGCCCACACTCGGGCCACTACCGCACGAGCACCGCCCCACCGCCGGCGCGCACAGGCGCCCACCGCCTCTCCTCCCTCCTCCTCCTCCTCCTCCTCCTCCTCCTCCTCCTCCTCCTCCTCCTCCTCCTCCTCCTCACGAGGTCAAGTCGTTCGGTCTTTCCTGCCGGTTTCTCTGTACCTCTTGGCTTTCTTGTTGCTTGCCCTTCCCCACGCGACCGCCATGCGGGAGGGGCTTGAGGGCTTCTCGCTTCGACAACAGGAACCCAGTCCGCAGCTCCGAGCTTCGAGACAGGGGGCGGGGGGTCGAGGCTCTTGGAGGCTCTCGGCTCTCCCTGGGCCCCCAAGAGTTGCCATCGCTCGGACGTCCATTCCCCGTGCATTTTTCGGCTCCGTGCGTATGTCTTGCTCGGTGAGCCACGATGCTCCTCGAGGGTCCTTGCCGCGAAGCAACACGCACAGGTCCGAGCGATGCCAGGAAGAGGGGCCTCTGGAGAGAACTGAGCGCGGGCTGCTGCTCCACGGCGCGGCCAATGGGGCCAGAAGGAGAAATAACGGAATTCACACAAACTGTTGGCGCTCCGAGCGGATTTCCTGGACCCGCGCTGGGACCCCCCCTCCCTGGCGCGCCGAGCGCGCCAGGGGCGGCGCCAGAGGAGCCGCCGGGGGGGCCAGCGCGGATCCAAGAGAGCCGCGCGGATCGCCCAGAGCTTGTGTTAGGTTCATGCCGCTTGGGTGTTTCTTCTTCGATGCGGAGAGCGCTGGGCGCGGGTCGGGGGCGACGGAAGGGGCGAACAGCCCGGGGGCGGGCACTACACGCGTTCGCCCGGGAGCCTTGCCGAAAACAGGGATCCTCGGCGCCCCTGGACACTCGTGTTGCTCTCCCCTGGGCTATTCGCCCCTGTCCTCGCCTCTGAGCGGGCTGCTGCTCTGCGGCGCGGCCGCCGGAGCCCCGGCGGAGCCCCCGAAGCCGCAGCCGTCCAGGCGCCATTGGCGCGTCGAGCCCCCTCGCTTGAAAGCGGTCAGCGGGCACGGCGTCTCTCGGCAGGCTTGCTCGCGTCGGCGGCGGCGTGGGGCACTTTTCCGCAGGGCTGGACCTGAACATTGCTTTTCGTGTTTTCGTTGTGTGCTTCGTGTTTCTCTCCCTGTTCTCCAGCACCTCCCCGCCAGCATGAAAAACAAAGCAAAACACCGCCGAAGTCCAGCAAAACAGCGTGTAGGTTCAGCCCTGCTTTTCCGTGGCAGCTCGCGGGAGCCGCCCCCATGCCATCTTTTGTCGGCTCTTGCTAGTCGGCGCTACATCGACGCACAAATCGACGCAAACTCGGCGCTGCCCCATCGACTCCCAGACGCCAATCGACGCTAATCGACGTTGAACACACACACACTTAAAACTCTTCGTGTTGTCTCTCTCGTCGATCAGCGTCGATTTACTTAATTTAAGAGGGTGCACCAGGCCCCCGCGGTTTGCTACCGAAGGGCTTTGGGCAGCAGTAGCAGCCGCGGCGCGGCAGAGCCCGCTGCGCACCGTGCCGCACCTGCCGCGCTGCATGGGGGGAAAGCAGGGCGCCGCGCGCTCAAAGCACAGAGCACGTAGCGCTGCTCATCACCAGGCCTCCGACTTGTTGAAAGCGCGCCTCGAGCCAGATGCCCAGGCACCGCGGTGTTGAACGCACGAAGACAGAGGTGCCCGGGCTCTCGCGGGCCTTTCGGGATCGTGCGGGTCCTCCTGGGCGTCTTGTTCGTCGGTTGCGTTTTGTTTTCTCGCCCTGGGATGCTCTCCAGCAGCTGCGCCCGGTCGATACCGTTCTGGGGATGCCCGCATCGTCTCGATCGAACGCCGGTAGCCCGAGGCAATGGCCCGATAGCTAGACATCCAGCGCCTTGAAACAATCACGATGGATCGTCGTCGACCTCTGCGACGGGACGGCTTGGGGAAGGGTCGGGAATTCTGGGGAACCCGCATTGCAAAATCACCAGGCCAAAGGGCCTGGCGGCATCGAGTCAAGGAGAGATCGCGATACCGTGTCTCCCCCCGGATGGGTGCTTCGGAGGTCGCCGTCGGCTGCCTTCTGGGCAGCCGTGGCCCCCATGCTGGCACAGTCTGCCCGGGGTCCGAAACATGTGTCGTCGCAGAATTGATCTACAGGCGGGAGGCGGAAGGGTTGGAGAGGGCAGGGATTTCCCGCGTCAATTCGTTCAACGCGTGTTGATCGCGGGAGATAGCGAGCATCCCGTACCCGATGACATCGCAGATGCCCAGCCAGCTGAATTTTGAGACAGCGTCGTCGGCCCCGCTGGCAGAACAGTCAGTCGTCAAACATTGCTTGTGTGAGCGGGTGGCCATGATGCATGACGAATGTATATCGCACGACGTTCAATCTGGCAGCTTCGACCATGCTGGCACGCCTGGGGGGCGCTCGAGAATGAGGGCGCCCAAGGGTGTCCTGGGGCCAGAGGGCCAGGGCGCATGCACTGAGCACCGCGCAGCAGGACGAGGACCAGCTGGCAACGACGCTGCCGAACGGCAGCGGATCTTTCCAGACGAGGAAGGCCATGGCCCGGCAGCGTTGCCCTTTTGTATCATAGAGGCTTGCCTGATGCGCGGGCGACGGAATGAACGACGACGACGACGACGACGACGGCACAGACGGCGTCGAGAGCGGCAGCACGAAGTGCGGAGGCGACTAAGGCGACTCCGAGAGAACGTCGATCCCAGGCCCGCATCCGCTCGAACTCGCTCGGCCTCCCGACCCCGACGGGGGGCCGTTTCCGGCGTTTCGAGCTGGGTCCAGCGATGGCGATGAGAAGCCCCAACCATCCCAAACGACGAAGCTCATCACGTTGATCGTCGACAACGTCGATCGTTGGACGATGACGACGACGCCGACGTCAACGACGCCCACGACGACGCCGCTGTCGACGCCGACGCCGACGCCGACGCCGACGCCGACGCCGACGCCAACGCCAACGCCAACGCCGACGACAACGACGACGAGGACGACGACGACAACGACGTCGACGACGACGACGACGCGACGACGACGACGACGACAACGACGACTGCTGCGCCAGACGGCTGCGAAATGCCCCGCAGCGCCCCGCCTCCCACGCGATCGCTGCGGCGGGCCCGTCCTCCAGGAAGGGGGCCTCGCACCGGCGCGGGGGGGGGGCGGGAGGGAGAGAAGGGGGCGAAGGAGGAAACAGGGTGGAGGAGGGTGCCTCCCTCCTCCTCCGCCTCCTCCGCCTCCTCCTCCTCCCGCTCCTGCTCCTCGGCCTCCTCCTCCCTGGGGGAAGAGGAGGGGGGCGGAGAAGGGGGAGGAGAGGGAGGGGAGATGTGGGGGCGGCAGGGACGAGGGCGAGCACCGCGGAGGACGGAGGACCGAGGACGACCGACGGCCGAGCACGGAGGCCCCGGAGGCACGAGCAGGTCGGGGAGGTGGGCCCCGGGCCCCGCCTCCGTGCGCCACGCCAGGCTCTCCTCCGCCCCGCCGGCCACGGCGGCCTCTCGGGCGCGGAGGGCCCGCCCAGGGGGCGTCGCCGCGGCCCTCCCACGGCAGGCTCGTGCCGCGGCGGCCCCGTTTCTGCTGGTCTCCGACACCGCGTGGATCGTTCCACCTGGAACGATCGGCGGCCCTCCGATCGCCGATCCGTGCCATGCTGGCGCCGAGTCAGGGCCGCCGGGGGCGCTCCACCTGGAGCGCCTGCGCCGGGGCTGCCGCCGCGCCGACACGACACGAATCTGCCCTTCCACGTGGTTGGCGGCGCGCACGAGGCCCTAGCATCCCTGCTTCCTCCCCCCGCTGCGGCCTCCCGCGTGCTCCTTCCCTGCGCTGCCGACCGCCCCCCCGCCCCCCTCTCCCTCTGCTTCTTCGTCCCTTCTACCTCCTGCTCCCCTCTACAATTACTCAATATATGAATACTACTCTCCCTCTTCCCCTGATGACGGTTTGAAAGTGGCCGACCCCCCCACCGCGTATTGTTTTTTACACACAGGTTTCCCCGGAGTTGGGTGTTCGCCTGCATTTTTTTCAAAATGCTGCTCTCGCTGAGGCGCCAGCCTCATTTTCGGGCCCCGCTCGTTCCGAATCGTGCTGCCGCTGCAACGCTGGCCTCATTTCCGTGTTTCCGCTCGTTCCGAATCGTGCTCCCGCTGCAGCGCTGGCCTCATTTCCGCGCTTCCGCTCGTTTCGACTCGTGCTCCCGCTGCAGCGCTGGCGTCATTTCCCGTGCCATGCCACGGCATGCAATGTAATGCTAGGTTGATACTACGCTTTGCGGTGCTCTTCTACGCCCTGTCATGCCGTGCTCTACAATGCATCGCGTACCCTTTCGGGATCATTGCCCTGCTCGACATCCGACTGAGCGACTAGAGAGGGGATCTGCGCCATGGTAAGGGATGGGAGGGAGGTGTAGGATGTCAGGTATAACGCGAGCGCACCTAGCTTGCCTCACCCCCCTCCCCCTCAATCTCGAAGTTGAGGAGGAACAGCGCTCCCCCTTTTTTGAGGAGGCACATCTCGAGGTTGAGGAGGAAAGGCGACGGAGGAGGAGGAGGAGGAGGAGGAGGAGGAGGAGGAGGAGGAGGACGATGAATTGGCCGCGGGGGGCGGATGGGGGAGGCGAAGGAGGGAAGAGCAGGGAGGGCGGACAGCATGGGAGCAGGAGGAGGAGATGGAAGAGCGAGGAGAACGGGTGAGGGTCACCTCGGTCCTCCCCGTGACGGGCGGCGCCCGAAGGCCCCGACGTCCAGAGGCACTCGGGGCCCGGCATGGCCCTCTCCTGGCAGGCTCGTTCACCCAGACGTCCACGGGTCCCTCGGTGGGGGTCGGGCGGTGGCGCTGGTTCTTCCGAGTGTTCTGGCTCTGGGAGGCTCTCCAGCAGCTGCGTCTCGCGGAGAGCCTGCAGGGGGTGCCAGAATCTTCCCGGTCGGTCGCCAGAGGCCCGCAGCATGGTCCGAAGACCATCCGGATCCCAGACATCCAACAAAGGTCAGACGCCTGAGCTGTGCAGCATACTGGCCGCACATGAGCGGCCTGGCGATAACTTATTGTTGCGCCTCGACTCCGCGACTGCAGGCGCAAGATGACCATGGAGCCGGCGCGCAAGCTTGCCAGGCTTAGCAGTACCCACGTCTCTAAACGAGTGGCCCATCGAACCCGAGAAGGATCGGAAGCCCCCTGCTCGAGCCTGGGTGAGAGCTGGGTTGCCTCTTACCAGCCCAAGCTCTGCTCGAGCCCAGGTGCAGCCCGTGCTCGAGCCCGTGCTCGGGCGAGTGCGCCTTGAAAGTCTGCAGAAGTCATGGCGGCTCCTCAGAAGGCCCCCTCGGCGCTCTTGGAAGGCCGCCCCCACTAGTCGGTGATCCTCGGAACGCGTGCTGGCGTCCACGTGTTTTTTGTCCACAGATGCCCTTCAACACGACACCAGACAGCACAACGGGGGCCGACACAGACTGCGCGCCACAGTAAGAGCTCGACCACAAGAAACCTTCCACAACAAATCCAACCTTCAGACCCCAGGACGTCCATTGATGCTTGGTGTGGGCACGTTACGGTTTCCATGGCAAAACCATCGAAACCCAAGAAACCCAGGGCACCCTGGAGGCAAGCAGGGTGTTTCTTGGCATGGGTCTCCACTGTACGACACCAGGCAGCACAACCGGGGCCGACACAGACTGCGCGCTGCCGGCGGGGCCGAACGGGGTGGACACACGACTGGGCCAACACGCGTCCCGAGGACCCTGCGCTCTGGGCGCGCCGCTGGCGCAGAAGCCGCCGGGCGAGCCGGGGCTCCAGCGACCCCCGGGGCCCCGAGCTCCAGAGTGCGGCATCCGCGCGGGCCGTCGGCGGCCAGGCGCCGGGCCTGCCCGGGGCGCGCGCCCCGGAAGCAGAGGTCGGGTTCGGCCAAGAGGGGGGCGTCCAAGAGGGGGGGGGGGGGGGCAAATCATGGCTGACGGCACGTGCGCGGCCCAGGGGTGGGGGGGCAGGGACGTAATGAAATAAGAAGAGGCGGCATGAAATCTTGGGAAATAGAATGGCCCACGCCATGATATGCACCCCCCTAGTCATCACCCCCCTCTTTGCCGCCCCCGACGAGGAGTTCCGCCCAGAGCGACGCCCGGGAGCGGGCCGAAGGTCCCGCAGGGTCTGGGGGCTCCGAGGCACTCCTGCTGCGCTCTGCTCCTCCCCCCCTCGCTTCGCTCCATAGCCACCGCCATGGGCGCCCTCTCAGCGCCACGGCAGCTATTTAGGCTCTTTAAATCCAGCCGGGAATAATGTTGCTACACATATACATGCATACACACATAAACACAAACAGACAGACAGACAGACAAAGAGACAGACAGGCAGACAGACATGCATACAGACAGACAGACAGGCAGGCAGACAGACATACGTACATATATGCAGAAGGGTAACTTACGACTTATCCTCCCAAGGCAACTGCCGACAGAAGGTATCCAGAAGTGAATGTGACAAGTTTATCCGCCCTGGGGGGAGGGGACAACTCACCACGTACAGCCCCAAAGGAGCAGCTGGAGCATCACGCTTCAAGATGTGGATGTGGTCACGAACTGGGCTCCGACTCCAGCGAGTCGAGTCAATTCGCGCACCTCTGCGCTCGAACCCACCGAGTTCTGCACTTCGATCGGGCATGTCCTCCTACAGGCGGATTTTGGAAGACAGATAAACAGTTACAACATAACATCAAACATCTACAAACTTGTTAAAACAAATCGTCCCCAGAGTATGTTTTTACTATTTCTGAATATTCCTCCTGCAGAGGGACATACCCGACTCAACTCTGCTCAACCCAGGCCGACTTTCAGCAAAAATATGCCAGGATCAATGGACTGACGAAAACTTCAGCCGAACGCCTCGCGGCGGGCGGTGATGTACCCACGCCGGCTCAACTCAACGAAATGGCCCCGCCTAGTCCGGCAAAGTGTTGCCCACGACGGTGGAGGACCGAGAATCGAGAAGGGTTTCGACTTCAATGGCCCGCCAGTGGCCTCGACTCAAGGCCTACTTAGAGGGACCTCCGGAGGCCTCTGGGGCCAGAGCCCTTGCCGGCACAGCATCGCCTCCTCCAGCTCCTTCCAAGGCTGGTCTTAGCCGATGCCGACAGCGAGACAGCGACCACCATCGAGGCGAGCTACGAAGCCTGCTGCTCGCTGGGAGCACGAACTGGAGTGTTCCATACAATTAATAATGGTCATACGACTACGACTAATGATAATAATGATACTGATAAAGGATAATAATCATAATAACAATGATAATTCTAATGATGGCTTCGCCCTGGCGGTAACACGCCGTGCTGAAGTGAAAACGGTGGAACATGCAATGCGTGACAACTCATAGAGAAGTACCTGGGACGCATATCAATCACTGGAGTGCATGGCATCGCACGTCATGCTGTCATGCTTGCCACTCGAGAAGCCTTTTCTGATACCCACGGTGGCTTTCAGAAACTTCAGGGAGACGGGGTGGTCCGTAGGGCGGTCTGGGTCGCGACAAGAGTCGTATGAGAGTCGCTTCAGCGAGCTTTGCCCACAATGGAAAAAACACACGAATGATTCGCCTTTGGGGGAAACATGCTGCTGGCGACAAGATACCAGGGTCGCACTCCACCCAAACAGTGGTTCAAGGCGGCTTGCCTTCGCATACCGTACTTGGTGACGAAGACTGGAAGCCGCAATCTTTTCTGAAGCCAGCCAGTCCTCCCCAGACAGCGCGCTCGAAAATGCCAAAGACGGTATGCAAACTTGAACCAGCTGTCGCAATGATGACGAGCTGTCAGCGTGCAACCTTGTAGCTGCCTTGCCCGAAGTGAGTGGATCGTCAAGCTCATCTTCCTAGGCACCCCTATCTTTCCAACTGCGATCGATGTCATGGCTGGCCGGTGCCGTCATCCTGCTCGAAGCCTCTTCAGGAGCACGCCCAAATCGCCAAGAGCGCTGTTCACGACACTATACTCCGCGACGACTTTAAGCTGCCCTGCTGCACTCCGCAGTTTCCTTCACCAGTCCTTCACGACTTCCTCCCCCTCCTCTTCCTGCTCCCCTTCATCCTCCCGATCCTCTCCCTCCCCTTTCCCATCCTCATCGCTAGTCTCATCGCCACATTCAAAGAGCCGTGCTTGGAATGACCCACGATCTTCAAATCCCAAACAGTACTTGCGCCTGCGGGTCGGTCTGGCGGCTATGTTGCTGCCGTCGCCGCCCCGTCGCCGCATCGTCGCCGCCCGTCGTCTGGGCATGATCGTCGGTCTGGCTGTTATGTTGTCGCCGTCGTCGCCCCGCCGCGCAGCACCAACCACCATTGCACCCCTCCACCTTGAAATAAAGCCCATTGCAATTCTACCGACTGTAATCTATACATTGCGCACCACACAGATTGCACCAGATCAACTCAGATTGCATCACACACAATACACCACATAGATTGCCCAGCATAGGCTGCACCACATAGGTTGCAAAACACATAGTGCACCACATAAATTGCATAACATAGAGTGCCCAACATATATTCTCAGTCCTAAACAGGACGTCGCATCTACCACCCTCCACCACCGACTTATCAACACCCCATGGGGGTTTACAGCTTCATATGATTATGGCTCACCGTCCATTTTCCAAATGGACCCATACCATCCCTGCCAGGCCGGTGATTCCTCCCCCTCCTCACTGGCAAACGATACTATGTGCGCACACTCGTTTATCAAAAATCATAAGTTGGCAGGAACCCTTTGCATCCAATGGGACGAAGCCCACATGCGCGCGTCGCCCAACGCGCAAGCCGAAATGTCGCAAGAACCCGAAGTCCCGTGAGGATTTCAAGATCGCCTGTCCCGAAAGCGTATTAAAACAGCTGGTAGTGCAACAAGACTGTTCAGACAAATGTCCGCGCGTTCTTGCGAATGTCGGAGACAACCGCACATTCTTCAACATGTCCACCCAAAACGACCAAGCGGGCCCCTCGATCGCGCATGCCGGAATCATTCGACCGCCCTTGCGCGCGTGCTGAGGGGGAGGGCGCACGATCCCTGCCGAATAAAACCACGCGGGCCACTCGCGCCCGTCGGCTGCGCGCGCATGTCGACATCCTTCCGCGAACTTCATCACCGACTCGCGGACACCATCATCGTCATCGGCGTGATCAGCATCGGCGCCGTCGCTAGCCTTGCCGTCGTCATCGTCATGGTCGTCACCAGCATCGCTAGCCATGATACCGCGCCCGCCCGAGCCAACGACAAGCACTGAAGTGCTCGCGCGTCAACGCGGCCTGGGAAGACCCCAGCGGTCAGCGCCACCGCAGCCGCGTCGGCCGCATCAGACTAGTTAGCTGACCGCTCTGCGCGTGAGCCTGCGCGCCCTAGCGCGGCCGCAGCGATGCGCCAGCCAGCGCCAAGCAGTCATCTCAACCACCGCCGCATGGGAGTTGCAATCAAAGTTGCGGGTGGGCGGTTGAGCAGATTACGCGAGCAGTGGAGTTGACCACTTCAAGTTCGGCAGGGTGCAATACACACCATAGGTTGCACAACATAGGCTGCACAAAATAGATTGTACCACATATATTGTGCGCCGAAGATTGCACAACATAGATTGTACAACGTCTATTGCCAGAAACACACTGCTTGAGGCCCTCGCTGGCTAAACATCGACGAACTGTGCAACGCTGGTGATACGTGGGTGTGCAGACGTCCTCGCATCCTGACTGGCCCTGGCGTATTTCTCAAAACCCTGCCGCTGTGCACCTGCTGCAACTGAAAGCATTGCAATATCCCCGCTGTTCCTTTTCATCCACCTCGAGCGTTCCTTCATTCTCCCCTCTCAATTTCGGCAGATGTCTCGCCCTCCCATATGGTGGATTGTCTGCTATCCTTCTCTCTATTCCTTTCTCTCTCTCTCTCTCTTTGTCTCTCTCTCTCTCTCTGTCTCTCTCTCTCACTCTCTCTCCCCCTCAATTTCTGGTATTTCTCGGGTGCGGGGGGATCATACAATTCCCCCCGGCAACTCGAATGTACGATGATCTGTTGAGACTTGGGAAACTGAACTGATGAGATTCCCTTGGCCCTGCCACGCATCCGTGAGTTTGGGAAGCTGGAATGGTGAGACTCCTACAGCCCTGCCACACGTTCGTGAGTTAGGAAAGCTAAAATGGTGAGAATCCCAATGCCCTGCCACACGTTCGTGATAGTGCTGCTATTCAACATGACAGGATCGCAACTTCGATCCGTACTTTCCTCGGCGATGATGTAGTTCGGCCTCGCCACCCCTTACCCCCGACTAACTCTGTCTTGGCCCGGGAGAATCAACTCTCACGGGTCAAAGGTGGTATGCTTTGATATCCTGGGTGCTTCTCTCTCTCTCTTTCTCTCTCTTTCTCCCCCTCAACCATCCCTTCCATGAGCCTTAGTCGGACGATCTGTTGTCGATGACATCACCCTCGCAGACGCGGACAGGAGTGAGCCCCCCCCCCCCCCCCCCCGTACGAATCGAGGCACGACTGTCCCATGCCGATCAGGATCCCCGCCGCGGGCGCTAAATGTTTGGACTGCGCGTCTCCGCCCCCCCAGCCCTGCTCAACCGTTGGGCGCAGCGGCGAGAGGCGCTCGGGGCGCCCCCCGCCAGGCCCCCCAGGACGCCGCGAGCCTCCACGATGCGGGGACCCCGCCAGGCCCCCCGCGAGGCCGCGTGGGCCACGGGGGGCCAGGCCCACAGTGGAGGCCAGTCCACAGGAAACCTTCCACACGAAACCCAACCCTGAGACCCCAGGACGTCCATTGATTTTTTGGTGCGGGAACGTCACCCTTTCCACAGCAAGACCATCGAGACCCAAGAAACCCAGGGCACCCTGGAGGCAAGCAGGATGTTTCTTGGCATGGGTCTCCACTGTGCCCCTCTCAGGCCCCCGTGCCAGAGGAAGAAGAGCACGCGTGCGACTTGAGGAGGGTTCGCGCGAGCGGAAAACCCGCGCGCCGACCACAAGCTTGAGAGCACCTCTCCAGTCGACCCTGGGAAAGGCAGTCCTCGGCTGCGAGCTGTCCGCGAGGAGCGTCCTTTCGACTGACCACCGGACCTGCGGGGAATCAGCACTGGCAGGCGAGGAGGACAGTGCATAGCTTCGGTGATCATGCTGGCTGCACGAGGCTAGCAACACGTCGCACGTAGAGACTTTCCGCGCGCGTCGGATGACTTCGCCTACGATCGATGATGATACCGCTGGGCCGTCTTGGTGCGTCTTGACCTGCGACCGCCTGCCAGACGCACGCACGTGTTGCACTTCTCATGCTGACGAGTTACGCATGGACAACATATGTTTGCCAGCGGACGCGGACACGGTCGGAGTCGGAGCAGCGGATATGGAGCGAGCGCACGCGAATTGAGGCCCAAGACATGGCGAGGCGCGTGGACTGCAGACCTGCCTCCGCGCTTGCAGCGGTTGGTGTGTATGTGTTTTCGGGCCTTCGTTGATTCTTTACTTTGGCTTCTTGTGGCGCAACAGCTCGGGGACCGTGACGCATCGAGCACAACATGCTCTCATTTGTTTCTCCACGCCCTTTTACTTTTCGTCTGCAACCCCAGACTATATCGAAGCATGCCCCGTCCTCCTCTGACTCATGGGTTACCCAACACCGTGCTCTGCGCCGCGCACAACGCCATTGTCCGTGACGGCGAAGAACTAATATCGTCGCGCCCGTGTGGGTTCGACAGACCAACCGCAACACACGATGATATCCGTGCCCTTTTCAGTGACCTGCCGTCAATGAGGTGGTGAGCAGAAGCAGAAGCAAAGGAGTCTGGACCAACTTCCAGCCAAATCTTGAGAACACGTTGAGCCAGACCGCCACGCACATCGTGTATGCGCGCAAATGGTGCGCAACTGGGCAGACGTACTTCAGCCACGATGGACAAAGGGTCCTGAGCGGCACGGGTCCTGAACCCAGGGGCTCTTCCCTGGGACGGGCGTCTCAACCCGAGCTGCCCGTGGACGGTCCTGGGCAGGCCGACAACTGCCCAGAACCTCAAGCCGCCTTTCCCTCGGGAACCTCTCTTGCCCTGGCCTGCAATGGAGCATCGCCTCCCTGAACCTCTCCTGGCTCCTGGGGTGTGCAGCTCGACTCGGACTCCGGAGGGAAATCCAGCCCGGCCGCCAAAAAGCCTCTCAGAGGCGCCGAACTATGTAGACACATGCGAGCGGGGGCAAGAAACCTCGCCCTCGCGGCGCAGATCTCCCCCCTCCCCCCCTTGACCTGCCCCTGGCCACATCCAGGCGTCCGGCCTGGCCAGCTCTCCGAGCCGCGCCCAGCCGCGGCCGCGAACACCTGCAGGAACACACGGCGCCGTCCAACACATCGATCCTCCAGCCTCGAACCTCGGCCGCATCAACTCGAGCCTCGATTCGCCCTGACCCCGCCGCGCCGCCTCCATGTGGAGCTTCCCGCAGTCTGATGCCACCACCTTTGGGCACGGCTCCGCGGGGGGCGGTGCGACACCCAGGCTTTCCTCTCTTCCTCCCTTCCTCCACCCAGGGGGGGGTGGGGGGGAGAGGATGAATAGGAGAGAGGAGGACATACAGACAGAGACTTCTGGGGGTGTCCACACAAGGTTTGAAAGCCTGCTACGCCTTGGGAGCGATTTCAATCGCTACGCATCGGGTTCCACACACCCGCAGGAAGATGCGGGTCCTTCTAATCCCTTTACCCTTGCAGCTGGGGACCTGCGGAGAGCAGGAGGAGGTCCTCCTCCTCCACCGCCCTCCTCCTCCTCCTCCTCCTCCTCCTCCTCCTCCTCCTCCTCCTCCTCCTCCTCCTCTTCCCTCCCTCCCTCCCTCCCTCCCTCCCTCCCTCCCTCCCTCCTCCCTCCTCCCCTCTCTCTCCCCTCCCTCCCTCCCTCCCTCCCTCCCGTCCTCCCTCCTCCTCCTTCCTCCTGGAGGTCCTCGGCCACGACGGCAACACGGCGTACGACGTCTTCCCGTCCTCGGGCCCCCGCCGGGGGCCGCGCTCGGCGGGGCCGGCGCGCGGCTCCAGGAGAGGGCCCAGGGGGCGACCGGGCAATCGTGCTACCAGGAGGCACGCCAAGACAGTGAAGGGGCCCCGAGACACACAAATAAATAGGCACAGATAACAGGATGCCCAATATTGTCCCATACTTCCTGGGTTTTTGTTTCCCCCCCCCCCCTCCCATACTTTCCCAGTTTTCTGGAGGATCGACGATTCATTGTGTCTGTGTGCTTTTGCCCCTCCTGAGACAGGAGCGAGGTGGGGCTTTCCTGAACATGGCGAGCCTCGGCCACGAGCAGGTTCCCCGACCCGGGTCTCTCTGAGGGGCGGCCCGGGAACCAGAACCCCTCGCGAGCCCAAGGCGATCCTGCCTTCAGCCCTTCGGCCGTGCGAAACGAGGAGAACGGGCCCTGGATCCCGACCTCGAGGACCTTGCTGCGCCGCAGCCTTGAAAAAGAGGAGCGGATGGCGCTCGTGTGACCGCACGAATCCACGTGCCGGTTTTTCCGGCACGCGGTGGAACGAGGACGCCGGGAACACACACCGTCGGGAGCAGGATGAAGAAGGGCCAACTGTGTGGAGGTGGGCAGGGAAATGTGAAACCTACCGCTGCAGTGCAGACTTCTGCAACGCCGCCCCTGGTTCAGAATCTGGAAGGTGTCTGCAGCCAAGTGAGCCCAAAGGGGTGTCCGATACCCTAGAGCCGATGGGACCTGCAAGAGGAAGAGGAGGAAGAGAAGCAGGAGGAGGAGGAGGAGGCGCAGGATGAGGAGGATGAGGAGAAGGGTGGGTGGAGGAGTTGGGAGGATGGAGGTGGGAGGAAGGAGGAGGAGGAGGAGGAGGAAGAGGAGGATGAGGGAGGAGAAAGGAGGAGGAGGAGTATGGTTCGCACGTGGTCGCAGAGGAGAAGTGGCAGGCTGATCCACGACTCGGAGCCTCGGCGCCTTCAGGACCACATCCCAGAGATGATTTCGAGCACCCAGAAAAGTGTCGAAACAATGTCGCCACGTCCCTTCTCCGTCAACGTCTGCGGGCACCACTACCACCCCCGAGTCTCCCCCTCCCTCACAGCTAACCCCCCTCCATTCTCCCCCCCCCCTCGCCTGAACCTCTGCCTCCACCTCCTCCTCCTCCTCCCCATCCTCCTCACCCTCCTCCTCCTCATGAGGCTCCTCCCCCTGCTCGTCCTACTTCTCCTCCTTCTACCTCGTCGTGGTCAGCGTCCTCATCTTCAGGGTCGGCGGCACCAGCCAAAAGGCCTTCGCAGTAAATTTGAGCACCCAGAAAAGTGCCGAAATAGTGTCGAACGAGTATCGCCTTCCAGGGTCCCAGGGACCGACGCGTGAATCCCCCCAGTTTCGCTACGTTCTTGGTGCTCGAAGTTCTTCCTGGTGGTCAAGGCTCAAGTCTAGGTGGAAGCGTGGACACCCCAAACCCTAAATCGCCATGTGGGGTCTGCCGCCACACCTGGCTCTGACCCCTGTCATCACCCGCTTGGTCACTCGCGCAGGAGTTCGCTCAGGATCGGCAGCCGGGCTCCACCTGGCCACAACCCTGCAGTGTTCGCCGACTCGCGTCCACTTGAGGCGACCGAGGGCCCAATGCTGTTGCGGGAACACGGCATGTCAAGGTCCGAGAAAGTTCCGATCAAAACATCATAGTAACAAACACAAGACCTGTTGAACATCTTGCGCGTGACAAACAACATATTGCGGGAGAGGCGGCGACACCGCTGCACAGCATCAGGGGAGCGAAAACAATGCAACGACCACGCATCTCCAAAAAGCAAGCGCGCGGTCCCCGTGCTTGCTCCATTACGCGCGCGATCGACGATGTGTGAAAGCGAACTGGCGAAGAGGAGTGAGGAGGAGGAGACGGAGGAGGAGCAGGAAGAGGAGGAGGAGGAGCAGGAGGAGGAGCATGAGGAGGAGGAGCATGAGGAGGAGGAGGAGGAGGAGGAGGAGGAGAAGGAGAAGGAGGAGGAGGATAAACAGGGGTGGAACGCACATTGAAGTCAGGGTTTCTGAGCTGATGCCTCGCGCAAGGATCCCCCGCGGTCGGACCGACCACCTACATCACGAGGCCTGGCGCCATGGCAGCCAGGGAAGCACAGCGCATGGCGCAAGGTGGCGACGGTGTCGCGCTGCAGACGGTAGGACAGCAGCCCCAAAATCCTGGGAAAGCATCCCAACTTCCCGGGGGAAAGAGAAACGCCACGTACTCACACTGAGCAGTTGTGGACAGGGGAACAGCGGGAGCTGAGGTCAGAGGGAATGAGCGAGGAGCGGGGAGGGGAAGGGCTCCGAGGGAAGGTGGGCTGGGAGAGAGGATGGGAGAGAAGAAAGCGGAAGATGAGAGGAGCAATGTGCGAGAGCGGAGAGGCGCGAAAGGAAGACAATAACGATGCGAGAGGATAGGGGGCATGTAGCGCAGGCAGGCTGAAGATAACGAAGAGGACATGATAGAACAACAAACATGCATGACAACTGAGACAAGGGAAAAAGAGAGCAGGGGGATAGCCACTGCAATTCTATGACTGGGGTGCGCGAAATATGAATCAGAAGAAACTGGTCGAGGATGGGAGATACGAACGCATGTGAATATCAAGGGGGAGGCGGCACAAAACAGGAAACACAAATATTGGATGTGGAGAGACAGGGAGAGAAAGAGAGGGAAAGGAAAAGAGACAGAAAGAGAGAGAAAGAAGGGGAGTACGGTACCATTGCAACACAAACGACAGTTGACGACTCCGACGGCGCTACCGACGATACTGTCGACCGTCGCCGATGCCGCCGACGACGGCGTCGTGCCAACATCCACTCAAAATCCGAACCGTAGACGAAGGTAGACGACTCCGCCGACGACGGGAACGGCGACGCAGACGGCGACGACGCCGACGCCGGCGACGGCTAGGGGCGATTGGGACGATGCCGAAGACGCCGCCGCCGATGACGACGACGGCGACGACGAAGCCAGCGACGAGCGACGCTGCCGACGGCGACGACGACGAAACGCCGCCGCCGACGGCGATGCTGCAGACGGCGACGACGGCGCCGCTGCAGACGCCGCCAAAACGACACCGACGCCGCCAGGCGGCGCCGACGACCGAGCAGCCGCGACCGCGCTCGCGGACAGGCCGCCTCCGCCCGCGGCGCCGCTGGGACCGCGGGCTCCACGCGGGCGGCGCCCTGGAGGGTCACGGAGCAGATGGGCGCGCTCCACTCCTGAGGAGGGGGGGGGCCTCCGCCATGAGGAGGTCAAGGTAAGGAACGAGGGGACCCTCCCGGCCACAGCAGGCCTCGGCTGCGAACGGGGTCCGCGACCCACGCCTGCGAAGGAACGGGCGGAATGCTGACCCCGTAGTGGCCCGTACTTCAGCGGCCTGACTGCAGGCCCTGCAAGGGGGGGCCACCACTGCCCGGACATCCCGCGGCTCGAACCAGATCGAGGCGGACGATTTCTCATTGCTTCTTGCCTTCGGAGTACGGTTTGCGGGCCCCGGGGCCGTCCAACAACGACTCGGGAGAAAGAACCGCCCCTGGGAAGTGCTGCTGTACTGTCGAGGTGGGAGATAACTATGTGGCGGATTTCGCAAACCCTGAACCCAGAAACGTTTTCATCCGCCGCATTCCGCCAGCCTTCCGCCGGCGGAGGCGGCCTCGTTTTACTTCCGTCGACTCTCCGCCGCCCTTCCACCGCCTTCCGCGGCGGAAGAGATGACAACTCCTTCGATCCTCGAGGGCAAGGCCTTTCTTTGGAACGCCTCATGAGGTGCTCGCGCTGGGCTGTGTAAGCTATGTGATGGTCGAGGGGTCTGGGGGGCCCACGCCTCGAACACATGGAGCCGCCAGAGGTCTGGGCAAGGGGGCCGTGACCTCCTGCAGGAAGGGGAGCCCCCAGGACCCCCCCCTCCCGGACCCCCCCCCCCCCGACCCCGACCCCGGAAACATCTCGTGCAGCCTCGCTCCTCCATCCCCCTCGATCCTCCATGTCCGGCAGGAGGGTGGTGACCCGACCCTCCCGACTCCCCCTCGTCGCTCACCGAACCCGGAGGTCTGGGCGCCGCACTCTTTCCGCACGAGGCGTATATTCGCTGCGTGCTGGGGCCCTCGAGGCCCTCGCGAGACGACCTGGCTGGAGGAATACCGCAGAAACATGAGGTCGAGGGCTCTGGTTGTGATTTTTTCGCGACGCTGTACTTTTGCTCACGACGGCGGACCTCGGGGAGCTTGGAGAACCGAAAGCGTTCCTGGGCCTCCTGGGGAACCTTCGTGGTCACGCTCGGATCCTCCCCCAAACCTGGCCATGAGCACTGATTTCTCAGACATCCGGTGTCCTGTTTCTTTCAAGACTGCTGGGGGCCCCAAGGTCCCGATCCTTTCCCCGAGGCCGGCTTTTGCTCCCTGAATCGTTATTTGGCAGCCCCAGAGCCCAGAGAAGGCCCGTGGAAACACAAAACGCATAAGAAACGTTATTTGCCCAATGTATTGGACGTCCTGGCTTGCCCACGGAATTCGAGGATCCCAGAAGTTGGGCGATTTTATAAGCCTCACTAAGTAGGGGCTGGTCAAGGAGGCGCTTGCAGCGGAGGCGAGCGACGCCAGCGACGACGACGAGAACAGAAGTCATCATCGTCAGAAGCATCCCACCCCCGGGGACACCACACGTCTCGAACAAGACAAGACGGATGGTGTTCAGTGTTCGCCCCTGGGCCCTCGCTGGGCCTTGGGACAATCAAAAAGCGACTCGGGACAATCAAAAAACTATTTATTGGACGCTGCATCTATATTTTTTGGCATTGGGTGTCTGGGGCCCCGCTGGGACGTAGTAAAGTAGCTCGCCCAGCGAGACTAAGCCTCACGATTAAGCTGGGCATGTCCCCCTGCAGGCGAAGTCGAAAAAAATAAAGCAATTACTCCGACGGTAGGACTCTACATGAGAATCCTCTCGGCGAATCTGGAAATCACCCGCGTCGTCGTCCTCGTGATTTTCGAAGCGTCCTTACTGTCTCCCCTGCGTCATTCTCCTCCTCGCCCTTGCGCAGGCCCTCATCCTGTTCCCTGCGTCGTCCTCTCCTCGTTTTTACTTAACAGCGAAGACTGATAGGTTTCTTCTAATAATGTAAAAAAAAACATCTTGACTCCCCAGGGAGGTCTGGGCGGGTGCCGGGGAGAACCCGCGGAAGTCGTTTTAAGCAAACAGTTGCACACTTCGTGGACTCCGAGCTCCCAGAACTCCATTTCTGGGCATGATTTTGAATGCCCGGAACCAACTGTAAGCCACTTCGTGGTCTTCGAATTCCCAGAACTCCATTCCCGGGCCACATTCTGAATGCCCGGAGCCAACTGTAAGCCACTTCGTGGTCTTCGAGTTCCAGAACTCCATTCCTGGGCCACATTCTGAATGCCCGGAGCCAACTGTAGGCCACTTCGTGGTCTTCATATTCCCAGAACTCTATTCCCGGGCCACATTCTGAATGCCCGGAACCAACTATAAGCCACCTCGTGGTCTTCGAATTCCCAGAACTTTATTCCCGGGCCACATTCTGAATGCCCGGAACCAACTGTAGGCCACTTCGTGGTCTTCGAGTTCCCAGAACTCCATTCCCGGGCCACATTCTGAATGCCCGGAGCCAACTGTAAGCCACTCCTTGAGACTCCAAGGTCGATCTATAGTGCGGGGTCGAACTATAATGCGGGGGTTATACTTTTCTGCGGGTCGATCTATAGTTCGGGCGCGCCGAAAATAGTTCGACCCGCCGTTTTGGGGCAAACGGGGCTTCGGCACCCATGCTCGCGCTCACCCCACTGGGAGGGGTCCAACATATATTTGAGCCGACAGCAATGAATGACAACGATACACACAGAAGCGTTCTTTTCAAAGCATGCGCACAATCGGCTGGCCGCAGAACTTAGAGATGCACGCCGCTGAAAACGCTCTCATGGACCTCATTTGGCCCCTCCTTCGGCCAAATGCAGCTACAGATCCACCGAAATCCTCATCCCTATAGTTCCAGTGCTTCGCTGGCTCACCGCCGCCCATGCACAGCTCCAAAAACATGCGCATTTTAGGCTTCACTTTAAAATGGGCAGGAAGCGCGTCTTGCAAAGCGGCCGTCTGCGTGGCAAACTTACTTAAATGCTCCCTAAGAATGTCCACAGCAAATGGGCGATTGTCAGAGAGTGCCTCGTAACACCGAGATAAGCTTTTCATCCCTGCCTGAATGGACGATTCTACAGCTGCCCGCTCGTCGACGCCATTCCTCCTATCAAGGAAAGCCTCCGCCATCTCCAATGCCCATGGAACCATGTGCCTGAGCATCCCCGCGCCGCACCTCATCTTAGCCGTCGTTGCTTTTTTTCCTTTCACAACGCCCCGCGTCAGTCTCGATAGGCGGCTGGTCTTCTCACCTGGCGGCTGCCTGTCGTAGAACGCCATCAAATGACCATGTAGTGTGGAGACGCGGCCTTTCTGGGTAGTTCCAGCCACCTTTTTGTGCGTTACAAGATACCATAGCAAGCCCCCTATGAAGTCAGCCGCTACTCCAAGATCAACAACGTGTAACCAATCTAGCTTCAGCAACTTTTCGTTCGCATACGGCACTTGGAAGAGAGGGCACACCTGCTCGCCTGAAACGATAATATTCGCAAGGACTTCTGGCCATGTGCGTCGGTGCGTTCTCCACGGCGCGTCTCTCCCAGTCTGCGATTTCACCTGCGGGGAGTAGCCAAAAACACTCCTCCTCCTCCTCCTCCTCCTCCTCCACCCCTCCTCCTCCTCCTCCTCCACCCCCCCTGGAAGGGGCCGCAAAACGACGACGACGCACCCCCTCCCAGAGGGGATTTCCATCCTCCCCTGATGTGTTGCGCTCCCATGGCCTCGTCCTTCTTGATGTTGCACAGGAAGCATACTTCGTCATCTTGCCAGCCAGGTAGCTTGAGCACCTCCTTCATCATCTTCCAGTCCCCTTTGATCTGGCAAAGCACTCCGCCAATTGGTAGGGTTGCATCGGCCACTTGTCGGCGCTTCCTCCATGCGTCCTGCGCGCCGAAGGGAGAGCCGTCGCGCCGTGCCGTCGGCCAGCGCTTCGCAGCCAAGTGAACAAAGCTCCACTGCACCACTGCAAAAACATCATCAAATGTGTTGGGGCCCACGTGCTCTTTGAGGAACGCTGCGATTGGGGCCCGCAGGTTTTTCCAGCGCCCCGCAGCCCCTGGCAACATGAGGCTGATGATCTCTGCGCTCATCGATCGGCCCCAGAAGCAAGGGACCCCGTCCTGCCACACGCCCAGGGCCACCAGGTCGTTGCGACCACTCTCCGCCCTTGCTCTTTGCACGTGGCGCAGAGACACGCCGTCGAGACTCGACGTCTCCAGTAGCACGCTCCGCTCGCCAAAATGATGAAGTTGATGAAGTATTTCGTGAGGAAGCATCATCGCTAAGTCCATCAGTTGTTCTGTTTCAGACTTGGGGTCCCAGCCCCTCACCTGGCAGTGATAGAGCGGAGGCCACCCTTTCCTGAAGAAATCCCGCCTGAACTTCCTGGCAGCGTTTTTCATGCCCGACGTTGACTCCGTAGTGTGCAGGTCGGAGAGACCTGTCGCAGATGCAGAGACGCAGTCATTGATCAGCTGAGCGCCGCGCTGCCCGCTGACCACGTTGCTGCTTATCAGGTCCTGCACGTTCGCTCTCAGCCGCCTCTCCGGCGGCAAGCCCAACCTGTCATAAGGCAACCGCCGCCTGGAAAGCATCCCGCGGGGCCCGCGGGAGACAGGCGCGAGCGCGGCGGCCTTGAGCCACTGCAGTGGCTACGGACATGCGCGGCTGAGGCAAGGGGCCCTTGCCCTTTCCCGCGCCCCTCCTCCGCGCCCTCCTTCAATCCCTTTCATGCCCCTCCCCTCCTGCTACTCCCCTCCTGATGATGCCAAGCCCCCCTCCCCCCCGCCCCCCCCTCCCCCCGCGCCCCTGCGATGAGGGGGGCTTCTTTACTGGCAAACCCAGAAACGTGCGGCCCCTCACGAAGGGGCACCCCTGGCAGAGGAAGCGGCAAGTTCTCGTTTTCCCACGGGCGTCGGAAAGGCAGCGCTGCATGCGTGTCGTCGGGCGAGGCAGAGCATCTCAAACCCTACTGCATATATGCATGTAAATACTGATATGTAGATGTAGGGCCGCAGCTCAATTGAGGAACTTCTTGAAGCGCTTGACCGAGAGCTGAATGCCCTCG